GTTCCCTACCACTGCTTGGCACATGAATGTTTTATTAAATATTACTAAAGTTTTTTTCTCTTCCCCTCTCTCTCTCTCTCTCTCTCTCTCTCTCTCTCTCTCTCTCTCTCTCTCTCTCTCTCTCTCTCTCTCTCTCTCTCTCTCTCTCTCTCGCTCTCGCTCTCGCTCTCGCTCTCGCTCTCGCTCTCGCTCTCGCTCTCGCTCTCGCTCTCTCGCTCTCTCGCTCTCTCTCGCTTTCTCTCGCTCTCTCTCTTTTTTTCTGGCAAGGTTTCATATATCCCAGGCTGGCCTCAAAATTTTTTTTTTTAATGAATAGTGATTTGATTTTGCGGGGAAGGTGTTTTCAAGACAGGGTTTCTCTGTGTAACAGCCAGACTGTCCTGGAACTAGCTCTTGTAGACTAGGCTGGCTTCAGACTCACAGAGATCCATATGCCTCTGCCTCCTGAGTGCTGCGAGTAAAGGTGTGCGCCACCACCTCCCGTCTATGAATAGTGATTTAATATCACTGTTGTATGTGACTAAGATGAGAACCTATACTTTTTTTTTTTTTCCTCCCAAGACAGGGATTTTTCTCTCTGTAGTCCTGACTTTGTGTAGCCCTCTCTTTGTAGACCAGACTGGTCTTGAAGTCACAGAGATCTACCTGCTTGCCTCCTGAGTGCTGGGATTAAAGGTGTGCCTCACCAACCTAGGCTGATCCTTACGTTTTTAAAATATTAAATAATTGAAAGCTTTTAATAAATTGTCAGCATTTTAACTTAGAAGCCCACAATTCTCTGATGCCTGCTCTTAACAAGCAATAACAAAGATAGGTGAGGTTGGTGCAATACTAGATAAAAATTACCAAATAATAATAGGCTTAAGGCATCACTCATTAAAAATGTATATTCTTTCAGCAGGCTTGACAATTTCTTTTTAATCTCTCTCTCTCTTTCTCTCTCTGTATTGTGTGTGTGTTTGTTTTAGCTCAAGTGTAGGTCAGAGGACAGTCTTGAAGGCCAATCTTTATCATGTGGGTCCGAAGGATTGAACCTAGACTGTCAGGTTTGGAGGCAAGCATTCCCACTCAGCAAACAATTTCATTGGCTCCCTTGTTTTTGAATTATTTGTTTGGTTTTGTTGAGACTGAGTCTTTTCTATGTAGCCCACCTGTCCTGGAAAACTCTGTAGACAAGGCCACAAACTCAGAGATCTGCCTACTTTTACCTGCCAGGATTAAAGGCACATACCACCATATCTGACTGGTTGGGGTTATTACATGCCTTCTTTCCTGATATGTTCTTGAGCCCTATTTTCCTAATACTGTTTGGTAAATTTTACCTGATTTGTAGCATATTGAAAAATGAAGTGGGCATGATGGCTCAAGTCTTTAGTTCCACCATATTTGGAAGGCTGAGGGTTAGACAGATCTTTTGTGAGTTTGAGGCCAGCTTAATCTACAATGAATGAGTTTCAGGACAGTCAGAACTACTTAGTGGGACCTTGTTTGAGGGGAGTGGGGTTAGGAAGGAGAAAAAGAGAAAAAGGAAATCTGTTTTGATTAAATGTTTATTTAAAAATATTTTTTAAGGGGGCTGGAGAGATGGCTCAGTGGTTAAGAGCATTGCCTGCTCTTCCAAAGGTCCTGAGTTCAATTCCCAGCAACCACATGGTGGCTCACAACCATCTGTAATGGGGTCTGGTGCCCTCTTCTGGCCTGCAGGCATACACACAGACAGAATATTGTATACATAATAAATAAATAAATATTAAAAATATTTTTTAAAATAATTCATTTACTTTTTTATGTGCTCTAGTTAGTGTTTTGCCCACATGTATGTCTATGTATAAGGGTATTGGATCCCTTGGAGCTGGAGTTACATAGACAGTTGTGAGCTTCCATGTGGGTTCTGGAAATTGAATCTGGGTCCTCTGGAAGAACAGCCAGTGTTCTTAACATTTAAGCCATCTCTCTAGCCTCGGTTTTTAAACTTTTTTATATGAAGATCATCAAGCCATTCCTGAGTTGTACCTTGTTTTATATTCAGAATTTTGTTAGGTTCATTTTAGAACAGAAATCTATAATTTATATTTAAATATGTTCTTCAGATTTCTTTGGTATTGTTTGGAAAAGGGGACACTTGGATAGGCCTTGAACTTAACTGTTAGGTATATACAGATGACCTTAATGTCCTCTTCTACCCATCTAATGTTGGAATTGCAGGTTTGTACCACTTTATGCCATGTTGGGATAGAACTTTCCTGGGGTTTCATGCCTTCAGGAAAGCACTCTACCAACTGTACTACATCTGTCCCAAGTCTGTGTGAAGGTAGTTGGATGAAATGGCAGGCTTAGGAATATACCTGTACATGTATTGGTAGTAAATAGTAATGTGTTCTTTGTTTTGGAGTTATATTCTAAAGCTTGATCATTTGTAAGGTAAACTATTTTTTATTGCACCCAAATCTCATTCCCTTTATTTCCTTTCCCTCTACGCTTCCTGATATATTTATTAGAACTTAATGTGTGGGTAAGAACTTAATATGTGTGTTTGTGCGCACTAAGTAAGTCATCTGTCACTGAGCTACATCCCCAGTCCCAGCTTCTACTTTCTAAAGACTTTATATGGGAAATAAACAAAACTAAGAGAATAATGTAATGAATTTTGTAATTCTTTCAGCTGCCTGATCAGTATTCAGATTTCTCCAAGTGTTTGCTCATATCTTTATTTTATAGTTTTTTTGGATCTAAATCTAAACATGTTTCATAAATTAAAGCCAGTGAATGTCACTTACTTGGTTTCTTTGTTTTTTCAAGACAGAATTTCTCTGTAACAGTCCTGGCTATCCTGAAACTAGCTTTGTAGACCAGGCTTGCCTTGAACTCAACAGAGATAGTCCTGTATCTGCCTCCCAACTGCTGGGATTAAAGTTGTGCTCTAGCATGGCCCCGTTAATTTAATTTATATTTGAGATGTCTCAATGGATCTGAGACTACCCAGGCTGGCTTGAATGTATAGTTGAGCCAGGATTTGACTTGAGCTCGTGGTAATATTTTTTTGTCTTAACTGCATGAATCCTGTTGGATTCACCATCCACAGGTTCCTTTTCTGTCTCTTTTCTTTCATTGTCTAAGGCTTTTCACATTTTAGATTTTGCTGCTTTTGTTCTTATGCCCTCATCTTACTGCAAATTGATAATTGGAATCAGAGGCTTAATCAGATTGATTATTGCAGTATTCTTTCACTTACACTAATATAAAACACTTACATAGGTATAATTGTACATCCTGTCTTTTTTTTTTAATCAGCATTTAAATATCTGATCTGGCAGAGAAAACAAATGTTTATATTTATCTGTAAAAGTTTTGTTTTATGGTATCATCTCTACTCCATCTCTTTGCCCATTTAAACATTGTTTTCTAGCCAGGCATGGTAATTCATTCTTGTAATCCAGTACCTGGTAGACGGAGGCAGGAGGATTCCCTTGAATTCCAGGCTAGCCTGGGCTTGTAACATAATACCTACTGTTTCAAAAAAAATTAATAATTGATATCGTTTCTGGTATGTTTCTCATCAAGGTTATCAATGAACTGCATTCTGAATGCAGCCAGTTTATCCTTTCATATTTGATAACTTCGGGTGCTATAAATTACCTCTCCTCAAAAGTACTTCTTTGATTTCTGTGATATACCTTTACTGACTTAATTGCTTTTTCTCAGCCTTAGTTGCAGTCAATCTGCCTTCCACAAAACCCCATGCTTTTTTGTATACTCACACATACAGACACTCCATACTCACCTACATAGTCAGTCAGTTAAATAGATGCACTCTGTACTCACACATTGTCTCATATACAGACACTCCATTCTCATTGTCACTCAGCCTACACATGCTATACTTACCCTCTTCTTTCCCCTTCTGGCTATTGAATCCGTAACCTTGTGCAAGCTAGGTTTAACTCCAGATCTAATCTTATTTTTTAATTAAATTGATTGATTGAGGACTTATGCATACTCAGATTTGGAGATAAGAAAACTTGCAGATGGCTAGAGAGATGGCTCAGAGGTTAAGAGCACTGACTGATCTCCCAAAGGTCCTGAGTTCAATTCCCAACAACCATATGGTGGCTCACAACCATCTATAATGAGATCTGGTACCCTCTTCTGGCCTGCAGACATATGTGCAGGCAGAACACTATACATAATAAATAATCTTTTTTTTTTTTTAAAGAAAACTTGCAGAAATTGATTCTCTCCACCTAGTGGCTCCCAGGGGTTTAGGTTGTTAGACATGCCAGCAAAGTAACCACTGAGCTATTTATCTCATTGTTGTATATTTTGTTTAGGCCCATTCACTGTTCTGTAATTTTTTTGAAAAACACATCTGTGATTCCTCTTGACCCTAGGCTGTAAAGACCTGAGTTGGTTTTACGCTCCATCCTCTGTAGGAGGATTGCTGAGTTTGAGGGCTACATGGTGAATTCCTGACTTGTAAAATAATAGTAATAATTTACTTTTAAGCAGAGTTGGAGTTTTCTAGAGTAGTTATATATTAATGATTGAAGTTTAATAGGTAAATATGTTACACTCGAAAACAATGCTGTGTTGCTAGTATGGTGGTACATGTCACAAAGCTAGCACTAGAAACTGAAACAGGATGATTACAAAAAGTCTTAGCCAATAAGGGCTACTTAATTAGACCCTAACTCAAAATCGGCAACAAAGGTACAATTTTACATCATTTTAGCTGGGTTTGGGGGTACATACCTGGGTCAGAAATTATAGCACACTTGTAGGGTCAAAAGGATGCCTGCCTAGTCTACATAGTAGTTTATCGTTGTTTGAGATAGGAATTTATTTTTGCATTGACTGATTTTTTTTTTCTTCTTTAAACTATAGGTTGACTAGCATCTAACATGCATGTTAATATAATTTACATGATGTTCTATAATAATTTAGAAATAATACAAATTTTAAATGAGGGAAATAATTTTATTTTTTCCTTTTTCTCTTTTTAGGTGGAATGAACGTTACTTGTTGACTATTTCCTGGTTGCTGATTCGATTCACTTGATAAAGAATCATTTTCCTCTCTGTGGCTGCCACTTAGTGGCATATTTAATTGAAATCCAGGGATCACAAAACTTTCGATTTTTCTGGAGGGACATACCACTATATCAAATAAGTTTGATATTGCAGCCAAAATGGTGCTGTCCCAGAGACAACGAGATGAACTGTAAGTTTCTCAGTTTTCTGCTCTTTAGAAACCTCTTAGAAGACTAAACTACCATGATTAATGGTACATGGTGTAGAGGCAAAGTCATCCTCTGCTCCTTTGGAAGTTCAGGGCCAGCCTTGGGCTAGCTGACACCTTGTCACAAAGGGGAGGGATGGAGGAAAGGAGACAGGGTTGGGAAGAAAATATTAAAATGTAGTCTTGGAGTCTAAGTGTCTTTACCAGTGTGTGCTATATTAGTGTTGATAGTTTGTCTTGGCTTCAAAATTGGACCTTCTCATAGCATGGAATTAATTCTTTGTCATGTTTGAGTTTAAAGCAAGATGAATATTAGTTGGTAAGTTTCATCTTTTTTTTTTTTTTAAGTATTGTAGACATATTATACTCAATAGGAAAATAGTGCTACTGCAGGTAGATCTTCTAATTTAAAAAAAAAAAGGTAAAAGGTTGGGGACTGGAGAGGTGGCTCAGTGATTAAAAGCAATGGCTGTTCTTTTTTTTTTTTTTTTTTAAAGATTTGTTTATATACTGTGTATACAGTGTTCTGTCTGCATGTATGCCTGCAGGCCAGAAGAGGGCACCAGATCTCATCACAGATGGTTGTGGGCCACCATGTGGTTGCTGGGAAGAGAACTCAGGACCTCTGGAAGAGCAGTCAGTGCTCTTAACCTCTGAGCCATCTCTCCAGCCCCAGCACTGTCTATAACTCCACCTCCAGGGCATCTGAAACTTTCATCCAGACATACATTTAGGCAAAACACCAGTGCACATAAAGTAAGATTAAGTCATTAAAAGAAGTTAATTATGCCAGGCATGTTGGTGTAGGTCTGTAATCCAGCATCTAAGAGGCAGAGACATGTGGGTCTTTGAATTTGAGACCTAACATGGTCTACATAGTGAGTTCCAGGGCAGCCAGTTACTACATAGTGAGACAGTCTTAAAAAATAAAAGGGGCTGGAGAGATGGCTCAGCGGTTAGGAGCATTACCTGCTCTTCCAAAGGTCCTGAGTTCAATTCCCAGCTACCACATGGTGACTCACAACCATCTGTAATGATTTAATTAACATCTGAATTAACACATTGGTGCGTGTGTCCCTTGTGTCACATGACCAATGAGATGTAATGAGGTCTGGTGCCCTCTTCTGGCCTGCAGGCATACACACACAGAATATTGTATACATAATAAATAAATATTTAAAAGAAAAAAAAAACAAAAGAAAATTTATTAGTTTCTCTCACTGAATGACCTTGCTGATTTGACAAGACTGGCTGGCTGGAGTCCCCAGCACTGGGCTTATAAACAGGTCCCACCAAATCCAGCTCTTTAACTAAGTGTAGGGGATCTGAACTCAGGTCCTCATAGTAGAATGGCAAACAATTTACCTACTGAGATATCTCCCTAGCTTCGCTAATTTTTGTTTTACCTAGGATTCATGTTATAGAAATGAGCTCCTAGTTAGTTCATTGTCTCATGGTTAATTTAGTATTTAATTTTATGAGGTATCTACTGCATTTAAGCAGATGCATTAATGAGGGCATAAAATTCCATATTTTGTGATAATCTACAGCATTTCAATTTTTGTAGTTGAATACCAAGGAGATAATTTAGTTTTGTGTTCTAGATTTATTTTAGGATTCCTATGACTTTTTTGTTTGTTTGCTGAGAGGGAGGCTGATACTGTAGCTTACCCTGGCTTGGGACTTTCTGGGTTGAACCAGGCTGGCCTCAAAGGTACTATGATCCTCTTGATGTAACCTCCTGAGAGCTGAGTTTATAGTCATGGTACTGTGCCCTGACTTCTTTGGATTTTTAGAATCTTTTCTTTGGAAGATTTAATTTCCAGTGCATGAGCAAAAATAACAATTCCCTTTTTTCCTTTTTAAATTAGTTAATTAATTTATTTATTTCAAGGTAGGGTTTCTCTTTGTAACAGCTCTGGCTGTCTTGGAATTCACTCTGTATACCAGGCTGGCCTCAGACCTATAGAGATTTGACTGCCTATGCCTCCTGAGTGTTAGAATTAAAGGGTGCACCACCACCATGTGTCCCCTTGCCTCTTCATGATAAGCTATTGATTATTGGAAGAGGGAGTATCATTTTCTTCAATGATAGAGCCACTGGGAGATTGTAGGCAGACTTTTCTTTCCCACCCTCCAGTTCCCAAATAACAGAGACTTAATATTAATTGTAAATTCTTGGTTGATAGCTCAGACTTCTTACTAGCTAACTCTTACGTTTTAAATTAACCCATAAAGAGACAGAAATCTTTAATAAATAAATAAATAAATAAATGAAAAATAAATAAAATAAAAAAGAAACCACCAAAAAAATAAATTAACCCATATTTTTTTAAAGGATTTATTATGTATGCATTGTTCTGCCTGTATGTGTCCCTGCAGGCCAGAATTTGGCACCAGATTTTATTACAGGTGGTTGTGAGCCACCATGTGGTTGCTGGGAATTGAACTGAGGACCTCTGGAAGAACGATCAGTGCTCTTAACCACTGAGCCATCTCTCCAATCCCCTTAATCCATATTTCTTATCTACCCTCTGCTATGTGGCTGGACCGAGTTTCTTTTAACACAGCATTTTTCTTTTGCATCTGCTTGTGACTCCTGAGACTGCCCTTCTTCCCAGCATTTTCTCTGCCCTGAAAAATCTGAAAATCCTGCATTGCTATTGGCTAGTCAGCTTTTCGTTAATAGTGAGAACACATCTTCACAGTGTACAGAAGGATTATTCCACATTATATCTCCCTTTTTTCTCTAAATAAAAAAGGAAGCTTTAACTTTAACATAGTAAATTTATATACAACAAAAATATCTAGTCCATTTGTATTTGGCAAATTTAGAGAAAATATTCTATTATTTATCTTATCATTGTGAGTTCAAAAGTTTTATACCTAATTAAGTATTATCATAGCTAAGGAAAACTTTAATTGTTCAGTCTTTAACTCCCTTAAAGACTCCAGAAGGATGAAATTTTACCTGAAGACAGGGAGAACTAACTGCCTGGACAGTCACTCAAAGTTCCTGTAATGTTGGGGCATCCAACTTTGGCTTGCAGACCTAGTATATCTGACAGACATTTCTGAAAAGCAAGGAATTTTGAAGGACTGTCCTACTTTGGGTTGGCAAAGTTTGGCAGATGCCTGTTTTACATCCTGTTAGTCCAGTTTGAACAGTACACTGTCAGCAATTGAGGCAAGGGCAGTTTCTTTGCCGAGATTACTAACTTTTGCCATAAATAAAGCAAGCTCTGTACAGAGGGTTTTTAATGCCCATCATCTTCTTTTGAAATACATTATGGGTGGTGTCAGGAGCAGACATGTCTCACTGTTATTGAAAAGCTTTAGGTTATTAAACGTATTAAATGCCACATTCTGTTTGTCATTGAAGTGTTCGAAGACTGTCTACCTGTCTATATGTGTTTAACCTTGACAACATACCTAATGTTGCTATAAATTTGACTAAATGACTAGCTACTAACTGTTTTGCTTTTGTTTGGATTTTTTTGTTCTTGTTTTTGTTTTTTTGAGACAGGGTTTCTCTGTAGCTTTGGAGCCTATCCTGGAACTAGCTATTGTAGGTCTTCAGGCATGCTTGGCCACTCCCAACTTTTTACAACCTTGCTGAACTCAGGTCCTTATACTTTCATTATAAGCACTTTACCAACTGGACTATCCTCCAGCCTCTTTGTTTTCTTTGTTTTTTGGGTTGTTTGTTTGTTTAAGGTAGTTCAGAAACATTCTTGTATCCACTTCCAGGCGGCTTGGAACTTGAAAGCCTCTTTCTTGCCTCACCCTCCTAAGCACTGAGATTTATGGATGTGTGCCTCCTTTAAGTGATAGGGGTTGAACCCAGAGCGTTTGTGCATATTAAACTCATATTCTACCACCGATCTATATTCCCTTATGTTCTAACATTTTCATTATTTGTATGATTGTTTTGAGGACAGTTTTTTTTTTTCAGGGTTTCTCTGTGGCTTTGGAGCCTGTCCTGGAACTAGCTCTGTAGACCAGGCTGGTCTCGAACTCACAGAGATCCGCCTGCCTCTGCCTCCCGAGTGCTGGGATTAATGGTGTGTACCACCATCGCCCGGCGACAGTTTTAAATATTAGTGATTATAGGTAATTCCTGTCTTCAATAGCTGTTTTTAGTACTAGATTTTACTGAAACTAGTAAACAAAAACCACTTCACTGAAAGTTCTGATTGTGTCAAACATACTGATTTTTATGATTTAAATTTAAACCTTTGTTTTGTTGAAGTAGAGTCTCTTGGGAGGCCAGCTTCCTGTAACTCAAAAGAGTGCTGGGATCATACTAAAGCCTACCAGGTTTTAGTAATTGTTGATAAAAGAATTAAGTAACTATATTAGTTAACTTGTTGCTGTGACAAAATTCCTGTTAAAAACAGTATAAGGAAGGATTTAACTCACAATCTGAGGCATAATGCATCCGGGAAGGTGAGATAGTGAGTCACATTGTATCTGCAGCCACAGAGCAGAGAGGTGTGAATGGCAGCTGCTGCTTAGTCAAAGACACTAGCACATGAGGTGTGCCCACCTACATTTATAGTAGTTCTTTGCTGTTTCTTTAAACCTTTCCAAAAACAAAAATATACCCAAAAGGTGTGCTTCTGTGGTGATTCTAAATTCTGTTCAGTTGATGGTGAAAATTGACCATCATATTAGGTGATGATAATTGAGATATGAGAATGGATCATGTTTTTTGATTGACTATTTAAAAGAATTTCAAGATGACATATACTTAGTGAATGTTACTGCAGTTAGAAGGTGGAAGCTGGATTCAGTGTCAGAATCTTTAAGTCTCTGATATAGGCAGAAGTTTCTGTCTCTCCCACCAGTTCCCAAATAGCTGATACAGGCTTAATATTATAAATGCTTGGCCGATAGCTGAGGCTTATTACTAACTAGCTCTTATGACTTAAATTAACCCATTACTATTAATATATGTATTGCCACATGGCTTATGGCTTTACTTGACTCCAGCATGTGTTGCTCTCTCTGTGTTTCCTGGTGACTCCTCTGGTTCTGTCCTTTTTCATCCCAGCATCCTTAGTTTGGTTGTCTCACCTATACTTCCTGCCTAACTACTGTCAGGGTCCGGTGCTAGCCCGGACCATAAATTATTTCTCTCTGGACCATACCCCAACATAAACTATCTCTCTCTGGAGCAGCGTGGACGCGCAGGAATAAAGACACAATCACATGGCTTTATCGGGAGGGAGAGTCTCCATGGTCCCTCATGATATCCTGAGTTCACATGCTGAAGAATTCCTCTTGCTTTATTCTTCAAAAAGCCTTATATATCAAAAAAACATAAACTGAGGGGTAAATACATTAGCATTCTGTCTCTTAGGTAACCAGGCGAATGGCTTTTAGTCACGTCCACATCTACCTATCTGCTCTGTATGCTAGCTAGCACGAAGGCTTGAATCGGCATCTCTATCAGGTATCCTCCAAATTACAAAGAAAGGAGCAAAACATCTTGACCTTTTCTTAGGTTAGCGACAGCCTGTCTGGAAAGTTACTTGACTGCTCCGGATACTAGCCATGCCCAAGAACTTGGCTGTCACACCATGTAGAAATAGGGGCCTACAAACTACGAGGCAATAAGCTTTTTATTAGACCAATCACAGTGACATATATTCACATAGTGGAAAGGAATATTGCACTGCTCCCAGGTCTCTGGTAAATGTAACTGTTTGTTCCAAACATAGTAAAGTGAAGGTTCATTTGCCCTTCATAGTAACTAACCTGTGACTTGTATTCACCTTAACATTCAATAGTAGTTGAATTATGAACTGCTTTTTTGAATTAAATATTGTATGACATGAAGAATGACCTTATAACCCTTTTATCATAATTCTTAGGGCCTATTACGTTGGACTAGAATATAATAAACAGGCCAGAAACTTGCCACACCTGTGCTTCCCCTTCTCTAAGACTCAGCGGAATGCTGTAACATATTTAAGAAAATATTTAATTAGAGTGATGGCTCAGTGACTCAGTGCCTGTTGCACCACAGTGTTGAAAGTTCAGATCCCCCTGAACTGAGAATCAGCTCCCAAAAGTTGTCTTTTGATTTTCATCCACCTGATCTGACCCCCGCCATGTCCTCACCCCACATAGACAGATGATAGTAAAAAATAAAATGAAATAAGTTTCTTCATCTTCTCTGTTAATACATGTATGGAAATTGTCTTTGAGTCAAATAGTTCAGTCTCAGCATAATAACCCTATCTCTTGTTGAGACAGTCCTGGGATACACAAAACCCTGTTTTTTGTTTGTTTTTGATTTTTTTTTTTTGGTTGGTTTTTTTGTTTTGTTTTTTAAAAGATTTATTATGTATAGTGTTTTGTCTGCTTGTATGCCTGCAGGCCAGAAGAGGGCACCAGATCTTATTAGAGATGGTTGTGAGGCATCATGTGGTTGCTGGGAATTTGAACTCAGGACTTCTGGAAAGAGCAGGCAGTGGAGTGCTCTTCTTAACCGCTGAGCCATCTCTCCAGCCCCCACAAAACCCAGGCATAGTTGCACAAGTCTTTAATTCAGCCTGCAGAGACAGGCATACCTCTGTAAATTCAAGACAAGCCAAGGCAAAGACCCTTTTTGTTTTTTTGAGACAGGGTTTCTCAGTGTAGCTTTGGAGCCTGTCCTGGAACTAGCTCTTGTAGACAAGGCTGGCCTTGAACTCACAGAGATCTGCTTGCCTCTCCTTCCTGAGTGCACCATCACCACCTGGCTTTAAGACCCAATTTCAAAAGAAAAGAATACATAAAACAAAATGGGGTACAGGATGTAATGATACTATTACTATATGTGTATATTTAATTTTTGCTTAAGCCAATGGTAGTGACTTGTGGAGGGGGGGTAATTTTGTAGACCAGGCTGACTTCAGACTCACAGAGATCCACCTGCTTCTGCCTCCTGAGTGCTGGGATTAAAGGCTTGCACCACCCAGCTGGTATTAACTTTTTAATTATATGTGTTAGTTTAAAGTCTTAAAGAAGAATTCTAAATTAACCTTTTCTCTGATTTTGTGACTAAAGGTTCAGAATAATTGAGAAATGCTGAAGTAGGAGAGCAGGGATGCTTGCCTATATTCTGTCAGGACAGAATGAAAGAGAAGCATAAAAAGACATCATTTTAAGCCATTTCAGCTTTTCTGCCTTTGAATTATAATTCTATATTAGTCTCACTCTAAGACAGTAGACTGTAGATTGTGAAGTTTTAGTCCATTGCAATGGTTTAGAATTATTTCTAATACTACAACACTTTTGGGGGTGTATGTTGTGATGTATGTTTATAATGTATGCATGAGTGTCTGCTGGAAACAGAAAGACTTTGCATGTCCTCCTCTTACTCTGTTGTTTGAACAGCAAGGTCTTGTTCTGAACCTGGTGCTGTAATACTTTGGTTAGTTAGGAAGCCAGCAAGCCCTAGAGAGCCTCCTGCCTCCACCCACCTTAGTTGCTAGGTCCACAGACTTGCCCAGAACATTCATCCTCATACATGAGTTCTGGGGACATAAACTACAACCTCATGCTTGCACAGCAAAGCACTTGTAACCACTGAGCCATCTCTCCATATCCTTAACTATACTTTTATCAAAACATTCTAAACCAGGCATGGTGGCACATGCCTTTAATTCTAGTACTTGATAGGCAGAGACAGGTGTATCTCTGAGTATGAGGACAGCCTGGTCTACAAAGCAAAGTCAGGATAGCCAGAGATACACAGAGAAACTGAGTTCTAATCTCCAGTGCTTGAGCTTTGTATATCAAATACTAGGAGAAGGTGAATGTGAACAGTAGCAAAACTGAGGGTTAATTTTGCCAACTGATAGCTAGGTATAGAAATATATCTTTAGCTGTAGAATGTCCACAATTTATAAGCTAAGCAGTAAGTTAGAAACTTATTAAATGTCAAGGTCTGGGAATGGAGCTCAGAGGTACTTACCTAGTATGCACAGTGTCCTGAGTTCAGTCCCTAGCATGGGGGAGGGGGGGCAAAAACAGAAATGTCCAAAAATAATACAGATTAATTGTGACCGTGGCTCATGATTCAGAACCTTTGGAGGTGATCCATTTTTCCCCCAGAAAGATGTGTATAATTCAGAAGGAAGTTTTTTTTTTTTTTTTCGAGACAGGGTTTCTCTGTGGTTTTTGGAGCCTGTCCTGGAACTAGCTCTTGTAGACCAGGCTGGTCTCAAACTCACAGAGATCTGCCTTCCTCTGCCTCCCAAGTGCTGGGATTAAAGGCGTGCGCCACCACCACCCGGCTGGAAGTATTCTTTTTAATAGATTTTTTAATAGCCAGGTAGTCGTGGCACAAGCCTTTAATCCCAGCACTTGAGAGAGGCAAGTGGATCTTTGTGAGTTTGAGGCTGGCCTGGTCTACATAATGAGGACAGCCAAGGCTAACAGGGAAACCCTGTCTCAAGAAACAAACAACAACAAAAACCCAAGATTTTATAAGTGTATTTCCTCAAATAGAAGCGAATTTAGGACTCATTTGAATTTATTTTCTTTCAGAAATCGAGCTATAGCAGATTATCTTCGTTCAAATGGCTAAGAAGAGGCATATTCTGTTTTTAAAAAGGAAGCTGAATTAGATATGGTATGCTTGACCTTTTGAACAGTCTTCTAATTATTCATAGTATAGTTAATGGGTGCATTTTACTTAAGTTTGCAGTAGTTAGGTCAATTCAGCTATTCAACTCTTGCCATTTTTTTCTTAAGATCTACTTAGCATTGAACTTAATTTTCTTTTTTGTATGATAAGATATTTAATGTTTAGACTTAGATGTCATGGTTAAGCCTTTTTTTTTTTTTTTAAAGATCTTGCTTTTTCTCCTAGAATGAAGAATTAGATAAAAAGTATGCTGGTCTTTTGGAAAAAAAATGGACATCTGTTATTAGATTACAAAAAAAGGTAACTAAATCTTCTTTAGTTTGTTGTGGTCAGTGTGCTATTACAAATTTTCTGAAAACATTACCATGAATTATTAGTCTGTTGATACTCATATCTGAGCTTTAAAAAATACATTCCCTTTGTTTCATTAAAACTTTCATTTTAAGGTCATACAACCTATAGTAATGCGTTGGTTGAATCTGCATTGTCCTGACTGAGAAATTGAATGAGAAATCATTTGTGCTCTGGAAAAAGAGTACTAAATGTGGTCATGTGGTCTCACATGTACCATTTTTACCTCTGAGGTGTTTTGTTTTGTTTGGATGCCTGAAAGATAAGTAACATACTATTCCATTTCTAAAATATATATTCTTCACATTAAAAGTTAGATAATACAAGCCCAGCTATATTAAAGTCATTGACAAGTTATCAGTGCCTAGCTCAGTAAATGTTAGCTTTTGTTGTATTACTATCTTTTTTTTTAATATTTATTTATTATGTATGCAGTATTCTGTCTGTGTGTATGCCTGCAGGCCAGAAGAGGGCAACAGACCCCATTACAGATTATTGTGAGCCACCATGTGGTTGCTGGGAATTAAACTCAGGACCTTATGAATAGCAGGCAATGCTCTTAACCTCTGAGCCATCTCTTCAGCCCCCGAGTATTACTATCTTTAAACATAAATAATAAACTGGTGTAGGGGAAAAAAACACTAAAAATGATAGGTATAAAGGGAGCAAGGCAAATACGTTGATCTACTCTGTTAATAAATATAAATAAAAACTGTCTTTGAAATAGTTCAGGCTGGGCATAGTAACCCCAGCGCTTAGGAGCTGAGAAAGGAAAATTTTAAGTTCTGGGCTACCTTAAGCTTCCTAGTGAGAAACTACCTAAAAGTAAATAAAACTCAAATATGTTATAGATTGCATTTTTATTTAACTTCATGTTCCCTCACCAAGGTTATGGAATTAGAATCAAAACTAAATGAAGCAAAAGAAGAATTTACGTCGGGTGGTCCTCTTGGTCAGAAACGAGACCCAAAAGAATGGATTCCCCGTCCACCCGAGAAATATGCGTTGAGTGGTCATAGGAGTCCAGTCACTCGAGTTATTTTCCATCCTGTGTTCAGTGTTATGGTCTCTGCTTCAGAAGATGCTACAATTAAGGCAAGTTCTTTTTGTTTGTTCCTTTATGGGTTTTTTGTTTTGTTTTGAGAAACAGTTTTGGCTATCATACTGGCCTTGAACTCACAGATAGCCCGCAGCCTTGGGTCACCACACCCAGGTAAGGGAAATTCTGTGGGGTTTTGTTTATTTTTGTCTTTTGAGACGGGGTTTCTCTGTGTTGTTTTGGTGTCTGTCTTGGAACTAGCTCTTACCTGACCAGGCTGGCCTTGAACTCACAGAGGTCTCTGCCTCCCAGTTGCAGGATTAAAGGCAAGCCTTTTCTTAAAGGCCGACTTGAGGTAAATTAGGTGAAAGAAAAGCTTTCGGGAACTCACCAATGCCAGCTGGATTGGGTCTGAAAAAGCATGGGATAAAACCGGACTCACTGAACATAGCGGACAATGAGGACTGCTGAGAAGTCAAGAACAATGGCAATGGGTTTTGATCCTACTGCACGTACTGGCTTTGTGGGAGCCTAGGCTGTTTGGATGCTCACCTTACTAGACCTGGAAGGAGGTGGGAGGTCCTTGGACTCCCCACAGGGCAGGGAACCCGGTCTGCTCTTCTGTTCTTCTGCTCTTCGGGCTGATGAGAGGGGGAGTTGATTGGGGGAGGGGGAGGGATGTGGGAGGTGGTGGCGGGGAAGACAGAAATCTTAATTATATTAACGTTAATAAATAAATAAATAAACAAACAAACAAACAAACAACAAAAAGAAAAGGAAAAAAAAGATTTCACACAGGGAGCTCTCACTTTATCTCTGTGGTGCCGGGGAAATGACTCAGTGGTTAAAAGCACTGCCTGCTCTTCCAGAGGTCCTGAGTTCAATTCCCAGCAACCATATGATTGCTCATAACCATCTGTAATGAGATTTGTTGTCTTCTGGACTGTAGGCATACATGGATACAGAATATTGTGTACATAGTAGAGAAATAAATCTTCAAAAAAAGAAACAGATGTGATAATAAAATCACTAAGTCCTCCTTTTATTTGCTTTTCAAAAGTTTTATTACCTGGGGTAACTGCAGTCTAAAATATCAGTATAGTAGGATATTTTGTGAGAGAGAGCACATTTACATATTACATTGTATTATTATAATTATTTTTCAACTGGTTATTGATATTAAAATGTTACTTATAACCAGGCAGTGGTAGTGCATGCCTTTAATCCCAGCACTTAGGAGGCAGAGGCAGGTGGATCTCTGTGAGTTCGATGCCAGCCTGATCCACAGGAGTACCAGGGCAGGCTCCAAAGCTACAACAGAGAAACCCTGTCTCAAAAAACAAACCAAAAAAAAAAACCCACTTTAATATAAATTCATAAGTACATCTGTATAGTAAAAATATAATATATATACATTTTGATGCTACCTGTAGCTTTTAGGTTCACCTGTAGTCTTCGAAATGTGTCACTCATGAATAAGGGGAGACTGCTGTAATAGTCATAGTCTCTGTGCTTTAAATAAAAAAGTCAGGGGCTGGAGAGATGGCTCAGCGGTTAGGAGCATTGCCTGCTCTTCCAAAGGTCCTGAGTTCAATTCCCAGCAACCACATGGTGGCTCACAACCATCTGAAATGAGGTCTGGTGCCCTCTTCTGGCCTGCAGGCATATACACAGACAGAATATTGTATACATAATTAATAAATAAATATTAAAAAAAAAGTCAGAAGGAAAAACCACATCATTGGTAGTAGTGTTTTTTTTTTTGAATATTTATATTTATAGCGAGTTTCAGGATTGACTCCAAAGCTACTGAGAAACCCTGTCTGGAAGAACCAAAAGAAAAGAAAAAAATGAGTTCGAGAACAGCCAGGACTTAAAAAACAGACAGATTTTTTAAAAAAAAAATCTTTAAAATTTAAAAACTGAGGCTGTCCGGTGGTAGTGCACACACCTTTAATTCAGTACTTGGGAGGCAGGGGTGGGTGGAAATTTGTGAGTTTGAGGCCAGCCTGGTTTACAGGGCTACACAGAAAAACTCTATTGAAAAACAAAACAAAATTGATTTCAATCAAACTACAATTTGACCACCAGAACAAAAATTTAGTATGTTATTGAGTGGTACCTCTTTGTAATATTGATTCTTGGTAACTCAATTTCTGTTTTAGAAAAAATGTCCTTTCAGAATGAGACTTTTCCACATGAAATGTTTTTGTTAATCATTAACATTTGATTGAGCAGGGGGCTGGAGGGATGGCTCAGTGGTTAAGAGCGTAGCCTGCCCTTCCAAAGGTCCTGAGTTCAATTCCCAGCAACCACATGGTGGCTCACAACCATCTGTAGTGAGGTCTGGTGCCCTGGAGATACACACAGACAGAATATTGTATACATAATAAATATTTTAAAAAAGAAAAAAGAAAAAAATTTGATTGAGCAGTAGTTTGTGTATTTTATAAATTTTTCTTAGTTCCTTAAATATCTACCTACACTCTACTGCTCTGGTTGAATTGAGAACTTAAATTAGTTCACTGTTCTACATACAAATGCCTATCATTGTCCCAACACATCTTTTCTGTAATTGGATTCCCTTACTTATTTCTACTTACTCTCAGACTAGTGAGTGTGCTTTGACTCTCTGTACCTTCTCATTAGCATAATTAGGTGGTGGATTCCTAACAGATGTGACACTGAAGGTCTACTTGGATAATTGGAGCTCAATTTTCTCTATTGAGAAAGGCCAGTTTGTACTTGAAGATTTGATATTTCCAACAGATTATTGTTTGTTATTTGTTAATTAGCCAGTAAGGTGCCAGACTAAGCTGCTGGGTGTAAATATAAAATGAGGACATGATGGGTTGGTGTTGACCATTTTTCTCTTTACTTGACAGGTGTGGGACTATGAGACTGGAGATTTTGAACGAACTCTCAAGGGGCACACAGACTCTGTACAGGACATTTCCTTTGACCACAGTGGCAAGCTTCTGGCTTCCTGTTCTGCAGACATGACAATTAAACTATGGGATTTTCAGGGCTTTGAATGCATTAAAACCATGCATGGTAAGGAGTAGAGGACGGTGCTTTAATTTTTGGCAGGGCACTTGAAAAAAGATAATTTGCTACCTGTGTATAGGTACCTGCACTTAACTCCTAGTTGTTTGTGCTGATGGGCAAGTTTGATGAATAAACTTTGATAATAGAGATTTTATTGTTAGGAGGGCTCAAGTTTTATGTGAAATCCTAATTTGTATTTATAAGTATATTTGGATAAAAACTACAAGTCAGATTAGTCCAACAGAAAAGGACAGTTAGTTTACTGAGGTTGTTGGTTCTTTTGTTTTTCGAGAGAACAGCCAATGTGGAAGCTGGAAGCCAAAGCTGTGGTACCTTTAAGTGTTAATACGTTATTTCATCTCAAAATATCTATGTCATAGAATAATAAAGATGAAGTGAGTCATGCTTAAATTGTCTGAATATATAGGAGATACTAACCTTTATCATTTTGGAGTTTTGGGGACAGAGTCTCACATTGTAGCCTTGGCTGGCCTGAACTCAAATATCTGTCTGTTTCTACCTACCTCAAGTACTCAGATCAAAGATGTACATCACCACATCTGGCTCTGTGTTATACTCCCCACCTCCAGGCAGGGTTTCTCTGTGTAACCCAGGCTATTCCGGGCTGCCTTGAATTCAGAGATCTACCTGCGTCTGCCTCCCTTGTCCTGGGATTAAAGACGCCTGCCTTGACTCTGTTTTCTTTAAAGAATATGGTGGTTTAGATATATGTAAGAACATATTATTAGTGACTTAAGAACAAGCCAGTCCAAACCCACAGAGAAACCCTGTCTCTAAAAACAAAAAAACAAACAAAAAAAAAATTCGCTAAGAACAAGCCAGGTGTGTTGGTGCCTATACATAGTTCCAGTAGACAGGAGGTCAAGGTGGGAGGACCACTAGCTTAAGGCTGGCCTTCATTACAAAACCCCAACTGAGCTGCACAGTACACTAGTCTCAAGAAATCCAAACAAAAGAAAAAGATAAGCTGGTGTTACTTAGTACACAGGCTTATTACATGGAGTGTATGATTGAAGTTTGTGGGTTTTTTCCACTCATTTAAATGTATTTCATAAATTCTACTGAAGGAGCCTTGGCAGATTCTTTTGTAAATATGTTATCTAAAAATTTTGTAAGTTGGCAGTATCTTACTGCTGTCAAAAGAGTTTGTTTGCAGAAAGCCCTTAGTTCGATCCTGATTGCTAGTAAAACTGTATAATTTCATTACTCAAGAAGTAGAACCAGAAGGATCAAAAGTTCAAGGTTTCCTTGGCTACATAGGAAATTTGAGGTCAACATGGCATACATGAGATCCTGTTTCTTTCTTTCTTTTTTTTTTCGAGACAAGGTTTCTCTGTGGCTTTGGAGCCTGTCCTGGCACTAGCTCTTGTAGACCAGGCTGGTCTTGAACTCACAGAGATCCGCCTGCCTCTGCCTCCCGAGTGCTGGGATTAAAGGCATGTGCCACCATCCCAGCTGAGATCCTGTTTCTAAAAAAAGAGTTTTGCTAGGCATGGTGGCACCTTTGATCCCAGATTTAAAGACTGAGGAGAATTGGGCTTTGTGCTGAATTAAAGAAAAGAACAAAACAGGAAAGTTTCTTAAAATATATGCCTTGAGCTTTTTCCAGAAAGCGTAGTTAATTTGGAATGTGAACAGTGTTTTATGAACTATTTCCCCTATTGAACATCAATGTCAAATAAAGATAAATTTCAACACTATTTAAATAGAAGACCAAATCTTGCTTTTCCTATTCTCTTTTTTCCCTTATAATCCTGTATAATATACATAAAGCTCAGTGTAAAAGTGCTTTCTGTAGTTTTTTAAAATAACTTAGTAAAATCCCACGGTTAACTGTTAAATACTTTGCTGTATTATGTGTTTTAGGCCATGACCACAATGTCTCTTCAGTAGCCATCATGCCTAATGGAGATCATATAGTGTCTGCCTCAAGGGATAAAAGTATAAAAATGTGGGAAGTGCAAACTGGGTAAGTAGATTTAGTTGGAAAGCACTAGCCAAAAAGATTCTAAAAATAAAACAGAATTATTTTGAAAGTGCTTAGTAATTTCATCTTTACCCTGGAATGATCGCTGTGACATACATATATAGTTGAAGGTTGGAAATGTAGCATAGTTGTAGAGCACTTGCTTAACATGCACAAGGCCCTAGCTTTCATCCCCAGCACCAAATTAACAATTTATTCAGAGTTATACATCTGCATCTCAAAAAATAACTTCCTGTCTACAAGAAACACGTGTGCACTGTAAAAATGATTCTTAAAACCCAGTCTATGCAGTGTCAGTTTCCTATTTATTTCGTTTTTTGGTTGTTTTGTTTTTAATGTCTTTTTTTCCAAAGTGATCTCTGGGTCTAAATTAGAATTTAAATAAGATTTATGCTGATATACCTTTGTATATATCTTAGACTTGTATATGTCTTAAACTTGAAGTTTTTAGTTTTGAAAATTTTTGTCCCTTCTATATAGTTTACCTAAATTCTGTATTTTGTCAATTTGTGGTATTTCATGTCAGCCTATTTTAGCTAGTGTTGTTTGACTTCTGGCTGGTGCCCATTATTTATTAACCAATATTTTGCATTTATTTTGTTGACAAGCTATAATTTAACTAATGCTATTTTCTTTATCCTGATTTGTAACTAATTTTGTATCACTTCTGAAAAGTTTCCTAATTACTATTTATTCACAATGTATATTATTACTTACATTAATAGCTACTGTGTGAAGACATTTACAGGACACAGAGAATGGGTACGTATGGTGCGGCCAAATCAAGATGGCACTCTGATAGCCAGCTGTTCCAATGACCAGACTGTGCGTGTATGGGTTGTAGCAACAAAGGAATGCAAGGCAGAGCTCCGAGAACATGAACATGTGGTAGAATGCATTTCCTGGGCTCCAGAAAGTTCATATTCTTCCATCTCTGAAGCAACAGGATCTGAGGTACTGTCTGATTTACATGTCTTTGTATGATTTTCTTACTGTGCCATAGGACAGAGCCTTAGGTAACTTTCCTGATTCTCTGTTTGAAGTTTGTTAATGTGCCTAAGACTGTAGCCTAGAATTCTGAATTTTGAGTATTTGTTCTTTCCAGTTGTCTTTATATTTTTAAAGCAATTATAATTGAGCCAGTAAGTTTGCTCAGTAAGTTAAAGGCGCTGGCGACCTGAGTTTGGTGACCTTAGTTTTATCCCTGGAACTCACATTGTAGGAGGTGGGGTGGTTCCCTCAAGTTGTCCTCTGACCTCTATCTGCATGCCATGGCATGAATTGTGTATATACACAAATAGACATAAAAATCTCACCATTGATTTAATTATAGACATTGGAGATCATCTACTAAAGATTGATTATTTAAAGCCAGTTATGGTGGCCCTATAACCTCAGCACTTTGGGCCAAAGGCAAAGATCCTGTCACAAAAACAGAACAAAGGCCGGGTGATGGTGGCTCATGCCTTTAATCCCAGCACTTGGCAGGCAGAGGCAGGCGGATCTCTGTGAGTTCGAGACCAGCCTGGTCTACAGAGCTAGTGCCAGGACAGGCTCCAAAGCCACAGAGAAACCCTGTCTCGAAAAACCAAAAAAAAAATAAAAACTCACAACAAGGGCTGGAGAGATGGCTCAGTGGTTAAGAGCATTGCCTGCTCTTCCAAAGGTCCTGAGTTCAGTTC